TCCAACAGAATCTTTTATAAGCAAGCAATAGCCCCGCCCACCCACCCCTTCGTCATTCCAGTTACTACACTTAATACTGTTCAGTTCTATTTTAGCAAGTTTTACTAAATTGTTTTGTTATACTACGTATCTGCTATAACATTTATTTCTTATTTCTGCAGAAACAATTAGAGAATGGGTGGGTGGGCGGGGCTAAATTTAAATTTTTAACAGAATCTTTCATAAGCAAGCAATAGCCCCGCCCACCCACCCCTTCGTCATTCCAGTGACTACTCTTAATATTGTTCAGTCCTATTTTAGCAAGTTTTACCTAATTGTTTTGTTATACTACTTATCTGCTATAACATTTATTTCTTATTTCTACAGAAAAAATGCGAGAACGGGTGGGCGGGCGGGGCTAAATTTAACTTTTTCCCACAGAATCATTTATAAACAAGCAATAGCCCCACCCACCCCCCCTTTCTTAATTCCAGTGACTACTCTTAATATTGTTCAGTTCTATTTTAGCAAGTTTAACTGAATTGTTTTGTTATACTACTTATCTGATATTACATTTATTTTTTATTTATGAAGACAAAATGAGAGAAAGGGTGGGTGGGCGGGGCTAAATTTAACTTTTTCCAATAGAATCATTTATAAGCAAGCAATAACCCCGCCCACCCACCGTCGTCATTCCAGTTACTACTCTTAATACTGTTCAGTCTTATTTAAGCAAGTTTTACTTAATTGTTTTGTTATACTACGTATCTGCTATAACATTTATTTCTTATTTCTGCAGAAACAATGAGAGAACGGGTGGGTGGGCGGGGCTAAATTTAAATTTTTCCAACTGAATCTTTTATAAGCAATTAGTAGTCCCGCCCACCCACCCCTTCGTCATTCCAGTGACTACTCTTAATACTGTTCAGTCTTATTTTAGCAAGTTTTACTTAATTGTTTTGTTATACTACTTATCTGCTATAACATTTATTTCTTATTTCTGAAGACAAAATGAGACAACGGGTGGGTAGGCGGGGCTAAATTTACTTTTTCCAACAGATGTTATATTACTTATCTGCTATAACGTTTATTTCTTATTCCTGAAGACAAAATGAGACAACGGACGGGTGGGCGGGGCTAAATTTACTTTTTCCAACAGAATCTTTTATAAGCAAGTAATAGCCCCGCCCACCCACCCCTTCGTCATTCCAGTGAATACTCTTAATTCTATTCAAACCTATTTTAGCAAGTTTTACTTAATTGTTTTGTTATACAACTTATCTGCTATAACATTTATTTCTTATTTCTGCAGAAACAATTAGAGAACGGGTGGGTGGGCGGGGTTAAATTTAACTTTTTCCAACAGAATCTTTTATAAGCAAGCAATAGCCCCGCCCTCCCACCCCTTCGTCATTCTGGTGACTACTGTTAATACTGTTCAGTCTTATTTTAGCAACTTTTACTTAATTGTTTTGTTATACTACTTATCTGCTATAACATTTATTTCTTATTTCTGAAGACAAAATGAGAGAACGGGTGGGTGGGCGGGGCTAAATTTACCTTTTTCCAACAGAATCTTTTATAAGCAAGCAATAGCCCCGCCCACCCACCCCTTCGTCATTCCAGTGAATACTCTTAATTCTATTCAAACCTATTTTAGCAAGTTTTACTTAATTGTTTTGTTATACAACTTATCTGCTATAACATTTATTTCTTATTTCTGCAGAAACAATTAGAGAACGGGTGGGTGGGCGGGGTTAAATTTAACTTTTTCCAACAGAATCTTTTATAAGCAAGCAATAGCCCCGCCCTCCCACCCCTTCGTCATTCTGGTGACTACTGTTAATACTGTTCAGTCTTATTTTAGCAAGTTTTACTTAATTGTTTTGTTATACTACTTATCTGCTATAACATTTATTTCTTATTTCTGAAGACAAAATGAGACAACGGGTGGGTAGGCGGGGCTAAATTTACTTTTTCCAACAGATGTTATATTACTTATCTGCTATAACGTTTATTTCTTATTCCTGAAGACAAAATGAGACAACGGACGGGTGGGCGGGGCTAAATTTACTTTTTCCAACAGAATCTTTTATAAGCAAGTAATAGCCCCGCCCACCCACCCCTTCGTCATTCCAGTGAATACTCTTAATTCTATTCAAACCTATTTTAGCAAGTTTTACTTAATTGTTTTGTTATACAACTTATCTGCTATAACATTTATTTCTTATTTCTGCAGAAACAATTAGAGAACGGGTGGGTGGGCGGGGTTAAATTTAACTTTTTCCAACAGAATCTTTTATAAGCAAGCAATAGCCCCGCCCTCCCACCCCTTCGTCATTCTGGTGACTACTGTTAATACTGTTCAGTCTTATTTTAGCAACTTTTACTTAATTGTTTTGTTATACTACTTATCTGCTATAACATTTATTTCTTATTTCTGAAGACAAAATGAGAGAACGGGTGGGTGGGCGGGGCTAAATTTACCTTTTTCCAACAGAATCTTTTATAAGCAAGCAATAGCCCCGCCCACCCACCCCTTCGTCATTCTGGTGACTACTCTTAATACTGTTCAGTCTTATTTTAGCAACTTTTACTTACTTAATTGTTTTGTTATACTACTTATCTGCTATAACATTTATTTCATATTTCTGCAGAAACAATGACAGAATGGGTGGGTGGGCGGGGCTAAATTTAACTTTTTCCAACAGAATCTTTTATAAGCAAGCAATAGCCCCGCCCACCCACCCCCTCTTCACTCCAGTGATTACTCTTAATATTGTTCAGTCCTATCTTAGCAAGTTTTAGCCCCGCCCACCCGCCCTCTATTTTCTTAGACATAAGTGTCAATTTTTCAAGTTACTAGAGTGTCATCAATAAATATGAATTTTTCGTCTATTTCATTGAATAACTTTTTAAGTATGATTTTAGAATATTGATTGCTTTTGAGGGTTTCCAAAAAAAAAAAACAATCTTTACATTTATAAAAAAGTATACCTAGTGTTCTATAAAAAAAAAAGTTGACGCATTTTCCGTTCCTACCGGAAGTGCTAATAACAATGTGAGCTTGTCATCACATAGATCTTTTAAAATGATACCAAGTTGTTTAAGAATAAGAAATTTACAAGGGTTGTATCAAATGAAAGAAACACCCTGTATGTTCTTATGTAAAATGGGAATAGGGACTAATAGAACGTGAGCTGTTAAAAAAAGCGTTAATCGTAAATTTTTGTTATACTACTAATTTTCTGCAACATTAATTTCTTATTTTTGCAGAAACAATGAGAGAACGGGTGAGTGGGCGGGGCTAAAATTAAATTTTTCTTACAGAATCTTATAAGATAGCAATAGCCCCGCCCACCTGCCCTCCTCTATTCCAATGATTTTTTTACGAGAAATTACCATGTGAAATATGTTCTTAAGTAATCGTGTTACACAAAATAAACTAAATGTATTAATTAAAAATGAAAAACCAAAACAGAAGCCCCACCCATCCGTCTCGATCTCAATCGTGATGAATTTTTCATTCGTTGTCAGACCGAGGGGTGGAGCGTAATTGGAAAGTCGATATTTCCCTATACAAATTTTCCATTTTAAACATATTTTAAGTTCCATGTTATGAAAAGAAGTCACATATTAAAACAAAAGGGCAAAAAGTAAGCCCGCCCACCCGCCCTATTTCAATTGTGATGATTTTTTTTATTCTTCGTGAGCCAAGAGGGCGGAGCCTAACTGCAAAATACTTATTTCGTTACAATAAATTAAAAACATGTTTTGAGTATTGTGTTGTTCAAAGAATACTAGATATATTAGGAAAAAATGCAAAATATAAACCCCGCCCACCCACCCCATCTCAATTGTGATGATTATTTTACTTTTAGAAACTTAAAACACGTTTAAAATGGCAAATTTTTGTAAAGAAATATGGATTTTGCAGTTAAGCTCCGCCCTCTTGGCTCACGACGAATAAAAGAAATCATCACAATTGAGACCGGGTGGGTGGGCGGGGCTATATTTTTCCTTTTTCTTTCTTAACATGTGCAGACTTATTTTGACCACAAGAAACTTAAAACATGTCTAAAACGGTAAATTTTTGTAGTAATCAGTTTAAATCCTCCACTTTGCTTCTACAACCCTTTTAAATACGGCAAAAGTTGAACTTCAAAGTTAGTATCAAGGGCAACTTGCCAACGGAGTTTATAAATGACAATTTTCAGATGATCGATTACAAATTTAGGTAGTGAGTATGCAACCCATAATACACAGTTGTTTTTTGGGTGCTCGTATTCAAGTAAGTCAAGTTATAATTTATTTGAATAAAATTGTAAAATTGGGGGATACAGCACACAACACTTTCTAAAGGATGTTGCCCTGTTTTTAAAAAATGAATAGAAAATGTGTATGACTAACGACTAAGCAAATTCGTTACAAAATTTACATTTTTATTACCTAAAAAAAAACGCTTAATATCTAAACGACGTACGCTTATCAGCAGTTGAAAGCGACTTTTTTTTTAGTGTTTGTGGGTTACAAAAATACGCAGATAACTGAAAACTTGAAGGATTTATACGTGTTATAGTATTATACGTAGGCATAACACAACTGCATGTTCAAGGTATATTCATTTTTTCATTAACAAACGGAACTAAAAACCATTGTGTGTTTATCTAACAATGGAAACCCCACGGAAAATTATCTCCAATTGTTAGGATTATTCCTTTGCTCTTATCACCTGTATCAACGTCTACAAATCAGTCTGATCACAGTTGTTTACACCGTTGTACGAAGATTCCTTAGAGAACAATAAGTAGTAGGTAATATTTTTAAATCGAATTATCTGATTATTTAGTAAAATGGCAACGACAGCCCCCCTTTTAAACTCCTCATTTTTTAAATTTCTCCAGTGAACCCATTTTTTACCAACGTATAAAACCCCGGCTTGTTTTTCAAATTTGCAAATTTCCTTGTTTTAAATTCGTCCGATAACCCGCGATAACCTCAAATCCCCCTTGACAAGTGACAAACGCCACGTGACACACGCATTGCCAACCCACCGCCGAAAAATGTAAAAATTCCACACCTGTCTAACGCAGTTCCGGTGCTAATTATTAAAAAAACATGAATAATGTATGAATGACCACACGATTCCCCATTTGCGTAGTGCTGTTAGTGCTTATCACCTCATCCGATAACCCAATTCGTCCCCATTCCATGAAAAATGGCCAAAGTGAAGGTGACTCCTCGACCCCGAAAACCACAAATTCACGCTTGTTTTGCAGGAATACAAAGGTAAACCGCGCCGCAGGAACGTGTGTAGGCAGCTGCGAGTCATCGCGCTCATCATGTTCGCCCTCCTGAGATACTACTTGGATTTTCTCATCGACAAGCTCTTCGGGCTTTATTACAACTCGAAAGTCAAGATAATCGACAAACCGCAGAGTAAGCTGGTGGTGGAGAGCGTGACGACGCTGGCGAGGAAAATCCGGAAGCGGGAAGTGACGTGTGAGGAGGTAGTCCGGGCGTTCATTGACCGGATCCACCAGGTGAATTCCCTCTTGAATGCAGTAGTGGATGAGCGCTTTGAGGAAGCGATTGAAGACGCGCAAGCTCTGGATAAAGACATCGCGGACGGGAAGATCAAGCAAGCGGATTTTGATAATAAACCGTTTTTGGGTTAGTTAAAACGCGAAACTTGAAAGTCAGACTAATTTATTTTCACAGGGATTCCATTCACCACTAAGGAAAGTACGGCTTGTAAAGGTTTGTCCAACACTTTTGGTCTTCTCGCGCGCGAGTCTTTCAAGGCCGAATTCGATGCCGACGTCGTCGACAAGGTCAAAAACGCCGGCGGGATTTTAATCGCGGTGACTAACGTTCCTCAGTTAAATTTGTGGCAGGAGACTTTCAACCCCATTTATGGTATCACGAACAACCCTTATAACACCACTAGAACCACCGGGGGTTCGTCCGGGGGCGAAGGCTCGATTATTGCGGCTTGCGGCTCCCCCATGGGCATTGGTACCGACATTGGAGGGTCATTGCGCATTCCCGCTTTCATGTGTGGGCTTTTCGCCCATAAACCCAGCTGCGACGTCGTGTCCACGCACGGGTTGACATTCCGCACCGGCGAAGAAAAAAACACCATGGTGGTGGCCGGACCCATGGTGCGACACAGCGAAGATATCATTCCGTTTTTGAAAGTATTAGGTGGGGAGAACGTCGCCAAGCTCAAACTAGACGACGAAGTCGATATTTCCAGTATTAAAGTCTACTACGTGACGGACCCCAAGGACCCCAAAGTCAGTCCCATCCGGGACGAAATGAACAAAATATTACTCCGAGTCGTGCGCCACTTCACCCAAACCAACTCAAAACCGGAGCTGGTGAACTTCGAGGAGTTGAGTTACGGGGGCAAGATTTGGAGGTACTGGATGACCCAAGAGCCCGACACCAATTTCAACCGGGACTTGACCAATCGCGAGGGCGAACTCAACTCGGTTGTCGAGTTGTGTAAATACGTCATCAGATGCAGCGACTTTAATATCGCGATTATGTTTAATCTGATTAATGGGTTGTTGCCTGCAGAGAACGAAGAGTGGGCTGTGGAGACAACTAATATTATTTATAACAAGTTGTCGACCCTGTTGGGGACGAACGGCGTCCTTATTTACCCCTCGGCCCCCTGGCCTGCCAATTATCACTATTCTGCTGTTCTCAGGCCGTGGAACTATAATTTGTTTGCGATTTGGAACGCGGTCAAGTTTCCCGTGACGCAGGTTCCTTTGGGGTTGACTGACGAGGGGCTGCCGCTGGGGGTGCAGGTGGTGGCGCCCCCGGGCCAGGATCGACTCACCATCGCGGTGGCCAAGGAGTTGGAGAAGGCGTTCGGGGGGTTCGTGCCCCCGTTTGAAATGTAGATGCTTGGTTTGGTGGGGGTGGGGGTAAAGGGTGAACAAGTACTACTTAATTAGGTGCTAAGTAATGTGATGTTTGCTTGATATTTAATAAAGTATTTTAACTAGGGGTAGTTTAATGGGGGTCCTTTTTTGGATGTGCTAGTGTAGTGCGATGTGTGAGATAGGCAACCCACTATTCACATTTACGACGTTTGGTATAAAAAGCTCTTGTCAATTTTACTTCCTGAACGTAAACTAAACGTTAAAATTTTCGCAAAAATATTTGCGACTACTTTTATTTTGTTCTGTAACTAGTATTACCCATGTTGATGACGTCATCACAAATTTTTTGTTAGTCAAATTAAGAACGAGTCACCCGATTTTCTCGAAAATGTGATAAATACGCACGTCTTTAAATTATAATAATGATAAAATAAGAATTATAAAATTGAGAACATGTTCGATTGTGTTTTGAATACGTGACATTCTTTCGATGTAAAAACCTAAATAAACACTCGAGCTTCAGATTGCTATTACCTACTGCTGAAGGACAAGGGGTGTTATTTACGTCGATTTTCTGTTGGATTTTTTGTTTTTCCGATTTTTTATTTTTTCTAATTTTTGGGTTTTCTGGATTTACCAGATTTTTCAGATTTTCTAGTTTGTCTGAATTTTTTAGATTTTTTGGTTTTCTTGGTTTTTTTGGATTTCTTGTACATTTTTAAGTGTTTCAGATTTTTTTTTTGATTTTTTGGTTTCCTAAATTTTCTAAATTTTTCAAATATTCTGTAATTTCCAGATTTTTCAGATTTTTGCATTTCCAGAATTTTCCAGATTTTTCAGATTGTCTAGATTTTCCCAATTTCTTGGATTTTCCAAATTTTTTTGATTTTTTGAATTTTCCAGATTTGTCACATTTTTCAGATTTTCCATGCTTTTCTGAATTTTTCGGATTTTCTAGATTTTCCAGATTCTCCGGATTTTTCAGATTTTCTTGATTTTTTTGGATTTTGTTTGATTTTTTGGATTTTTTATTTTTGATTTTTGGAATTTTTTGGTTTTGATTAAATTTTGTGGACTTGTTTCTATTTTTTGGATTCGCTTGGATTTTCTGGATTTTCCAAATTTTCCAGATTTTCTAGATTTTCTAGATTTTGTGGATTTTCCAGATTTTGAGGATTTTCTAGATTCTGCGGATTTTCCAGATTTTCTGGTTCTTCAGACTTTTTCAGATTTTGTGGGGTTTCCAGATTTTCTAGATTTTTTGGATTTTTCATATTTTCTAGATTTTGTCTGGATTCCTAGAATTTCTGGATTCTTGGACTTTCTGAATTCTTGGTTATTGTGGATTTTTCAATTTTTCTGGGTTTTCAAGATTTTTCAGATATTCCAGACTTTCTGGATTTTATAGATTTTCTGAATTTCCTGAATTTTCGAATTTCTGGATTTTTGGGTATTATGGATTTTCTGGATTTTTCAGATTTTTTTGATTTGGTTGGAATTTTTGAATTTCTTGCATTTTTTTTGTTTTTTTTTTCGATTTTTTTTATTTTGCAATTTTTGGATTTTCTGGATTTTCCCGATTTTTCAGATTTTCTAGATTTTCTTAATTTTTTATTTTTTTTTTGGTTTTTGTTGGATTTTTTGGATTCTTTGAACTGTCTTAAATTTTTCAGAATTAATAATAATAATAAGAATTATTTTGATTTTCTGATTTTTTCTTTTGGATTTTTTGCAATTTCAGATTAGATTTTTCAAAATTTCCAGGTTTTGGGGAGTTTCCAGATTTTCTGAATGTTCCGACTTTTCCAAATTTTGTGCAGTTCCCAAATTTCTTGGATTTTGTGGATCTTCTGAATTTTCGACATTTTCCATATTTTTCAGATCTTCTGATCTTATCAATTTATGAAATCAATGCAAAACTAATGTGCTTTTCCTTTGTTAGTTATGATTTAGTATTAAGCTTTTGTTAATTATTTTATGACGTGTGTAAATATTTTGTATGGTAACACAAATATATATTACTATTACTATTACTATTACTATATAAATTTTCTGAATTTTCCAGATTTTCAAATTTTTTTGGATTGTTTGAATTCCCCGAATTTTCTGGACTTTCGGATTTTCTGCATTTTCCAGATTTTTAATTTTTTTCAATTTCTTGGATTTTGTTCGATTTTTTGTAATTTCTTGGATTTTTTTAAATTTTTTCGATATTTTTCGATTTTTTTTTTATTTTTTGCAATTTTTGGATATTCTAGATTTTCCGGACTTTTCAGATTTTCTAGATTTTCTTATTTTTTCTTTGGATTTTTTGCAATTTTTGAATTTTCTGGATATTCTGTTTTCCAGATTTTTCAGATTTTCTAGATTTCACAAATTTTCTGGTTTTTGTGAATTTTCCAGATTTTTTTGGATTTTCTGTATCTTCTGAATTTAACAGAATTTCCAGATTTTCTGGATATTGTGGATTTTCCACATTTTCTGGATTTTCTAAATATTCTGGATTTTCCAAATTTTTCAAATTTCTTGCATTTTCAGAATTTTCAAGATTTTTAGTTTGTCTAGATTTTCCAAATTTCCTGGATTTTCTAGATTTTTTAGATTTTCTGGATTTTCCAGATTGGGCAGATTTTTCAGATTTTCTGTTTTCTGAATTTTCTAGATTTCTGAATTTTTTGGATTTTCTAGATTTTCCAGATTCTCCGGATTTTTTTGGATTTTGTTTGATTTTTTGGATTTCTTGGATTTTTTCAATTTTGTGTTATTTTTTCCAAATTTTTAGATTGTCTAGATTTTCCAAATTTCCTGGATTTTCCAGATTTTTTAGATTTTCTGGATTTTCCAGATTGGGCAGATTTTTCAGATGTTCCATGTTTTCTGAATTTTTTGGATTTACTAGATTTTGCAGATTCTCCGGATTTTTTAGACTTTCTTGAGGTTTTTGGATTTTGTTTGTAGATTTCGTGGATTTTTTCGATTGTTTCGATTTTTTGTTTTTTTTTTGGATATTTTGTTTTTTTCAATTTTTGGAATTTTTTGGTTTTGATTAAATTTTCTGGACTTGTTTAAATTTTTTGGAATTGCTTGGATTTTCTGGATTTTCCAAATTTTCCAGATTTTGGGGATTTTCCAGATTCTGCGGATTTTCCAGATTATCTGGTTCTTCTGACTTTTTCAGATGTTATGGAGTCTCCAGATTTTTTGTATTGTTTAAATTTGCTGAATTTTCTGGACTTTTGGATATTCTGCATTTTCCAATTTCCTGGATTTTTTCCATTTTTTGGATTTTGTTGGATTTTTTTTATTTATTGGATTTTTTTAATTTTTCAGATTTTTTTGATTTTTTCCTTTGGATTTTTTGCAATTTTTGAATTTTCTGGATTTTCTATATTTTCCAGATTTTTCAGATCATCTACATTTTCCAAATTTTCTGGATTTTATATATTTTTCAGATTTTCTGGATTTATCAGATTTATTTAGATTTTCTGTATTCTCCGGATCTTCTGGATTTTTAAGATTTTGTGAATTTTCCAGATTTTTTGGATATTCTATCTTCTAAATTTTACAAAATTTTCAGATTTTCTGTATATTGTGGATTTTCCAGATTTTCTGGTTTTTCTGGATTTTGCAGATTGTCCATATTTTCTGGATTTTCTATATTTTCCATATTTTCTGGATTTTCCAAATTTTTCAAACATTCTGGATCTTTCAGATTGATTCAGATCTCTTGGATTTTCAGGTTTTTCCAGATTTTTCAAATTTCCTGGCGAAGGCTCGATTATTGCGGCTTGCGGCTCTCCCATGGGTATTGGAGGGTCATTGCGCATTCCCGCTTTCATGTGTGGGCTTTTCGCCCATAAACCCAGCTGCGACGTCGTGTCCACGCACGGGTTGACATTCCGCACCGGCGAAGAAAAAAACACCATGGTGGTGGCCGGACCCATGGTGCGACACAGCGAAGATATAATTCCGTTTTTGAAAGTATTAGGTGGGGAGAACGTCGCCAAGCTCAAACTAGACGACGAAGTCGATATTTCCAGTATTAAAGTCTACTACGTGACGGACCCCAAGGACCCCAAAGTCAGTCCCATCCGGGACGAAATGAACAAAATATTACTCCGAGTCGTGCGTCACTTCACCCAAACCAACTCAAAACCGGAGCTGGTGAACTTCGAGGAGTTGAGTTACGGGGGTAAAATTTGGAGGTACTGGATGACCCAAGAGCCTGACACCAATTTCAACCGAGACTTGACCAATCGCGAGGGCGAACTCAACTCGGTTGTCGAGTTGTGTAAATACGTCATCAGATGTAGCGACTTTAATATCGCGATTATGTTTAATCTGATTAATGGGTTGCTGCCTGCAGAGAACGAAGAGTGGGCTGTGGAGACAACTAATATTATTTATAACAAGTTGTCGACGCTGTTGGGGACGAATGGCGTCCTCATTTACCCCTCGGCCCCCTGGCCTGCCAATTATCACTATTCTGCTGTTCTCAGGCCGTGGAACTATAATTTGTTTGCGATTTGGAACGCGGTCAAGTTTCCCGTGACGCAGGTTCCTTTGGGGTTGACTGACGAGGGGCTGCCGCTGGGGGTGCAGGTGGTGGCGCCCCCTGGCCAGGATCGACTCACCATTGCGGTGGCCAAGGAGTTGGAGAAGGCCTTCGGGGGGTTCGTGCCCCCGTTTGAAATGTAGATGCTTGGTTTGGTGGGGGTGGGGTTAAAGGGTGAACAAGTACTACTTAATTAGGTGCTAAGTAATGTGATGTCTGCTTGATATTTAATAAAGTATTTTAACTAGGGGTAGTTTAATGGGGGTCCTTTTTTGGATGTCGTAGTGTAGTGTGATGTGTGAGATAGGCAACCCACTATTCACATTTACGTTTGGTATAAAAAGCTCTTGTCAATTTTACTTCTTGAACGTAAGGTAAACGTTCAAATTTTCGCAAAAACGTTTTATTTTGTTCTGTAACTAGTATTATCCATGTTGACGACGTCATCACAAATTTTTTGTCACTCAAATTAAGAACGAGTCACTTGATTTTCTCAAAAATGTGATAAATACGCACGTCTTTATATTATAATGATGATAAAATAAGAATTATAATATTGAGACATGTTCGATTGTGGTTTAAATACGTGACATTCTTTCGATGTAAAAACATAAACACTTGAGCTTGAGATTGCTATTATCTAGTGCTGAAGGACAAGGGGTGTTATTTACGTCTCTGGTTTTTACTTTACAGCGGTTATCACAAAACGAAAATCGTAAAATCAAATTTTATAATTTTCTGGATTTACCGAATTTTCCAGATTTTTTCGATTTTTTGGATTTTTTCATTTCATTGAATTTTGTTGAATTTTTTGGATTTCTTGAATTTTTTTTAATTTGTGAGTTTTCAAGATTTTCCAGATTTACCAGATTTTCTGGATTATCTGGATATTTCGAATTTTTCAGATTTTCTGATTTTCCAAATTTTTCAGATTTCCTAAATTTTCCAGATTTTTCAGATTTTGCGAATTTTCGAGATTCTGAAGATTTTCCAGATTTTCTGGACCCTTTGACTTCTCCAGATTTTCTGAATTTTCTGGATCTTTTGTACTTTCCACATTTTCCAGATTTTCTGATTTTCCAAATTTTATGGTTTTTTCAGATTATTTGGATATGATTTATTTATTTTCCAGATTTTTTAGATTTTCCATGTTTTCTGGTTTTTCTGGATTTCTGGATTTTCTGTTTTTTTTTGGATTTTGTTGAATTTTTTGTTTTTCCGATTTTTTATTTCTTCTAATTTTTGGGTTTTCTGGATTTACCAGATTTTTCAGATTTTCTAGTTTGTCTGAATTTTTTAGATTTTTTGGTTTTCTTGGTTTTTTTAGATTTCTTGTACATTTTTAAATGTTTCAGATTTTTTTTTGATTTTTTGGTTTCCTAAATTTTCTAAATTTTTCAAATATTCTGTAATTTCCAGATTTTTCAGATTTTTGCATTTCCAGAATTTTCCAGATTTTTCAGATTCTCTAGATTTTCCCAATTTCTTGGATTTTCCAAATTTTTTTGATTTTTTGAATTTTCCAGATTTGTCACATTTTTCAGATTTTCCATGCTTTTCTGAATTTTTCGGATTTTCTAGATTTTCCAGATTCTCCGGATTTTTCAGATTTTCTTGATTTTTTTGGATTTTGTTTGATTTTTTGGATTTTTTATTTTTGATTTTTGGAATTTTTTGGTTTTGATTAAATTTTGTGGACTTGTTTCTATTTTCTGGATTTTCCAAATTTTCCAGATTTTCTAGATTTTGGGGATTTTCCAGATTTTGAGGATTTTCTAGATTCTGCGGATTTTCCAGATTTTCTGGTTCTTCAGACTTTTTCAGATTTTGTGGGGTTTCCAGATTTTCTAGATTTTTTGGATTTTTCATATTTTCTAGATTTTGTCTGGATTCCTAGAATTTCTGGATTCTTGGACTTTCTGAATTCTTGGTTATTGTGGATTTTTCAATTTTTCTGGGTTTTCAAGATTTTTCAGATATTCCAGACTTTCTGGATTTTATAGATTTTCTGAATTTCCTGAATTTTCGAATTTCTGGATTTTTGGGTATTATGGATTTTCTGGATTTTTCAGATTTTTTTGATTTGGTTGGATTTTTTGAATTTCTTGCATTTTTTTGTTTTTTTTTCGATTTTTTTTATTTTGCAATTTTTGGATTTTCTGGATTTTCCCGATTTTTCAGATTTTCTAGATTTTCTTAATTTTTTAGTTTTTTTTTGGTTTTTGTTGGATTTTTTGGATTCTTTGAACTGTCTTAAATTTTTCAGAATTAATAATAATAATAAGAATTATTTTGATTTTCTGATTTTTTCCTTTGGATTTTTTGCAATTTCAGATTAGATTTTTCAAAATTTCCAGGTTTTGGGGAGTTTCCAGATTTTCTGAATGTTCTGACTTTTCCAAATTTTGTGCAGTTCCCAAATTTCTTGGATTTTGTGGATCTTCTGAATTTTCGACATTTTCCATATTTTTCAGATCTTCTGATCTTATATAAATTTTCTGAATTTTCCAGATTTTCAAATTTTTTTGGATTGTTTGAATTCCCCGAATTTTCTGGACTTTCGGATTTTCTGCATTTTCCGGATTTTTAATTTTTTTCAATTTCTTGGATTTTGTTCGATTTTTTGTAATTTCTTGGATTTTTTAAAATTTTCTCGATATTTTTCGATTTTTTTTTTATTTTTTGCAATTTTTTTGGATATTCTAGACTTTTCCGGACTTTTCAGATTTTCTAGATTTTCTTATTTTTTCTTTGGATTTTTTGAAATTTTTGAATTTTCTGGATATTCTGTTTTCCAGATTTTTTGGATTTTCTGTATCTTCTGAATTTAACAGAATTTCCAGATTTTCTGGATATTGTGGATTTTCCAGATTTTCTGGTTTTTCTGGACTTTGGAGATTCTTCATATTTCTGTACTTCTTGATTTTCCAGATTATCTGGATTTTCTAAATATTCTGGATTTTCCAAATTTTCCAGATATTCTGGTTTTTCCAGATTTTTCAAATTTCTTGCATTTCAGAATTTTCCAGATTTTTAGATTGTCTAGATTTTCCAAATTTCCTGGATTTTGTAGATTTTTTAGATTTGCTGGATTTTCCAGACTGGGCATATTTTTCAGATTTTCTGTTTTCTGAATTTTTTGGATTTTCTAGATTTTCCAGATTCTCCGGATTTTTTTGGCTTTTGTTTGATTTTTTGGATTTCTTGGATTTTTTTCAATTTTGTGTTATTTTTTCCAAATTTTTAGATTGTCTAGATTTTCCAAAATTCCTGGATTTTCCAGATGTTTTAGATTTTCTGGATTTTCCAGATTGGGCAGATTTTTCAGATGTTCCATGTTTTCTGAATTTTTTAGATTTACTAGATTTTGTAGATTCTCCGGATTTTTTAGACTTTCTTGAGGTTTTTGGATTTTGTTTGATTTTTAGATTTCGTGGATTTTTTCGATTGTTTCGATTTTTTGTTTTTTTTTTGGATTGTATGTTTTTTTCAATTTTTGGAATTTTTTGGTTTTGATTAAATTTTCTGGACTTGTTTAGATTTTTTGGAATTGCTGGTATTTTCTGGATTTTCCAAATTTTCCAGATTTTGGGGATTTTTCAGATTCTGCGGATTTTCCAGATTATCTGGTTCTTCTGACTTTTTCAGATGTTTTGGAGTCTCCAGATTTTTTGGATTGTCTGAATTTGCTGAATTTTCTGGACTTTTGGATATTCTGAATTTTCCAATTTCCTGGATTTTTTCCATTTTTTGGATTTTTTTTATTTATTGGAGTTTTTTAATTTTTCAGATTTTTTTGATTTTTTCCTTTGGATTTTTTGCAATTTTTGAATTTTCTGGATTTTCTATATTTTCCAGATTTTTCAGATCATCTACATTTTCCAAATTTTCTGGATTTTATACATTTTTCAGATTTTCTGGATTTATCAGATTATTTAGATTTTCTGTATTCTCCGGATCTTCTGGATTATTAAGATTTTGTGAATTTTCCAGATTTTTTGGATATTCTATCTTCTAAATTTTACAAAATTTTCAGATTTTCTGTATATTGTGGATTTTCCAGATTTTCTGGTTTTTCTGGATTTTGCAGATTGTCCATATTTTCTGGATTTTCTATATTTTCCATATTTTCTGGATTTTCCAAATTTTTCAAACATTCTGGATCTTTCAGATTGATTCAGATCTCTTGGATTTTCAGGTTTTTCCAGATTTTTCAAATTTCCTGGCGAAGGCTCGATTATTGCGGCTTGCGGCTCTCCCATGGGTATTGGTACCGACATTGGAGGGTCACTGCGCATTCCCGCTTTCATGTGTGGGCTTTTCGCCCATAAACCCAGCTGCGACGTCGTGTCCACGCACGGGTTGACATTCCGAACCGGCGAAGAAAAAAACACCATGGTGGTGGCCGGACCCATGGTGCGACACAGCGAAGATATCATTCCGTTTTTGAAAGTATTAGGTGGGGAGAACGTCGCTAAACTCAAACTAGACGACGAAGTCGATATTTCCAGTATTAAAGTCTACTACGTGACGGACCCCAAGGACCCCAAAGTCAGTCCCATACGGGACGAAATGAACAAAATACTACTCCGAGTCGTGCGCCACTTCACCCAAACCAACTCAAAACCGGAGCTGGTGAACTTCGAGGAGTTGAGTTACGGGGGCAAGATTTGGAGGTACTGGATGACCCAAGAACCCGACAGCAATTTCAACCGAGACTTGACCAATCGCGAGGGCGAACTCAACTCGGTTGTCGAGTTGTGTAAATACGTCATCAGATGCAGCGACTTTAATATCGCGATTATGTTTAATCTGATTAATGGGTTGCTGCCTGCAGAGAACGAAGAGTGGGCTGTGGAGACAACTAATATTATTTATAACAAGTTGTCGACCCTGTTGGGGACGAACGGCGTGCTCATTTACCCCTCGGCCCCCTGGCCTGCCAATTATCACTATTCTGCTGTTCTCAGGCCGTGGAACTACAATTTGTTTGCGATTTGGAACGCGGTCAAGTTTCCCGTGACGCAGGTTCCTTTGGGGTTGACTGACGAGGGGCTGCCGCTGGGGCTGCAGGTGGTGGCGCCCCCTGGCCAGGATCGACTCACCATCGCGGTGGCCAAGGAGTTGGAGAAGGCCTTCGGGGGGTTCGTGCCCCCGTTTGAGATGTAGATGCTTGGTTTGGTGGGGGTGGGGTTAAAGGGTGAACAAGTACTACTTAATTAGGTGCTAAGTAATGTGATGTCTGCT